CTTTCACTGTGACAAGTGAGGTGACTAAACTGCATAGTAAAAGCTTGCGTGATCCGTGTAGACGACAAACGGAGTTGATTTCAAGATGTTAACACAAAACTTCACCAGGGCATACTTTATTGCTAAAACCTCCTTGTCGTAGATCGAATGGTTCTTTTCTGCTGGCTTCAGTCGTCGCAATTAAAACGGCACGACACGATCGCGTCCTTCAAAGTCGTTTTGCATTAATGCACAACCACTGCAAGATCCGAAGTGTCACACACCACGCTATATGATTTTGTATCATCTGGTTATGCAAGCAATGGAACTTCCATCGAGCTGTCTTTAGTTTGCAAGAATGATTATTTACAGGTGGATGACCAGTCCCATAGTACGTCCTCTTCAGCAAGTTTGCTAAGCGGGCGTACCATTTCCGCGTAGCTACGTGAGAAGCGATGTAGGTAGTTAGACAAACGAATCTACTTCCTCAAATCTCTTTAGGTTCGTACTCCACAATTGCCTTGACCTCCTCAGGGTCTGCACGACACCGTGTTCACCAACATAACAACCAAGGACCGGTACTTCGTTCGCGCTGAAAGTACGATTTGCTTGCAATGAGGATCCAGAACCGCACAGAGGTGCTCCAAGTGCACTTCTTCAGCGGATCTGCCCTCTCCGTCCTTCGAATGAACAAAATTACTGTCAAAATAGGTTTGTGCAAAGCGTCGCAGTGGTCAAAACAGATGTGTGACCTGTTGATTGAACGTTTCTGGGGTATTGGATGGTTGCTGTGGCATCACAAGCGACTTCCATATCATACCGGGCGGTGTACTAACAGCCGACAAAGGAACGTTCTCTTCCCTCATCAAAATTTGGTTGTTTCAATCGACCTAATTAGATACACTAAACGGTGTACAGTCGGACATCTGGTGGATAATGACGTCCTACGTGAAATCTGCGTTTGCGCAGGGATCGTCTGCGCATTCAACTTCTTATAGGCGTGTACAACAATTTGTTTACCATTCGGTATACGCACACAAAACATCGGTGTGCTGTGAGGGGACTTGGTCTCCCTCAACAATCCAGAAGCTTGCTTTGAGGAAAGAACTCATCAAAGTACTAGCTTTGTCCACGCGACAGTGGAGGCTGTCTAATCACCGCATGCTTTGAACCAGGTTCACGATCAATTTTGTGTCGAACTCCACGTTCGGGTAGGAGACCTGAGGGCGGGTTCGCACTAAGAGCGTCATTCGTATATTCCATACCAAGTGAATAATAAGGATCAGTTGGATCCTTTGAAATAGCCTATTCTCTGCGTGACTCCACACTTCGGGAGCCGAATCATCCATAACGGATGATGAACGTAGTTCCGCCAAGTCGGCTTTCGGCCGAAGCAACACGACCTTCGCAATTTAATCACCCTTGAAGTCGTGTAGGAAGTCATCATAAGTGACACCCTCGAGCTGCACCAGCTCGTCCATCGTCGGCAACGGTGCCAAAAGAACATCTGTTCTTGTAATCTCACACCCAGTCGTTGCATCCACAATACGTGGACCAGCTTATTTGCATGCTGTATTTCCATCATGGAGTAATACGCTGGACTAACTCACCCGCGGACTCAACTGCATCCGGAGCAAAAGTATCAACACCGCAATCAATGCATTTCGTTGACTCCTTTACATGTATATGCGCTCAACCACACAACGAGTGGGAGCATCACCTTGGTGACCAGATGTACCCACTGACCCACATTCCGACTCAACCACTGTATTAGTGGGAGTATTGGCATATCCAACCACAGTCGATTCCTTCGACTTTCATTACACACTTGTCGACAACATTTTTCTGTCTTGAGGGGTCAACGACAGGCATCTCTTCCTCATAAATTCTTTTCGTTGAACAAACCGTCATACCCACCAACGATTCATTCGTTTTCAAATGGCCTGTTCCAAATACCTCTTGATCCATCGACACACTTCTTAAGTGACCACCCCTGGCCACTCAATACGACTCCGTATCTTTCCTTACCTGGAGAATGTCAATTGCATGTCATATACCAATGAAGTGTGGATCACTTCCAGCAGCATACGACTGCCGAGCGCTAGAGTGCTTCGTCTGGTGCGTAGTGAAAGTGGGTTCATTACTCCGAAGAGTTTCACCTACGCCAGGAAAGCCACCCCCATCATTTTTGATCGCCAATTAATCCATGGCTCGAGCTGCTCAAGCCACGGTATACCAAAAATCAGGTCATACCGCTTGTCCATCTCAAGAACTGTAAATACCTCCTTCGAGTTGACGTCTTCGAGCTTCACGTGGCGATCAACCGTAATTTTTTTCGCGGTGACCACCAGATCAGAGGCCAGCTTCACTGATATAAACCCATTGCTTCTATTTTGGGCATCCGAAAGCACTTAATTGTTTTCAGCAACACTTTGCTTCCGCGCTAGTTACGCGACGCGCCAGATTCAATCGCGACATTAAACGGACAATCGTAACCCTTCACACTCGCTGTGACCACGAGGAGACCACTCGGACTCATGTCCTTACCGAAGGGCAACGAGCTTTGAGGTCTGCTGCTCCCAACCAGCTCTTAGACAACTATGGCCAGCACATGACTGATTCTGTCATCACAGTCCCAAGAGCTTATAACTGCCTCCCAACCTGCATCTACTGAGTTCCGCTGTTTCTTTAACGCCTCGTGGTATTTATACCACGTGAATCGAGCATTACCACGAGGACCGTAAAGAGTTCGTCTCTCACGTGGTTCATCACGGCGGATGTGACCAAATTGTTGACATCCGTAACAGCGAACTTGCCGCCTACGGACAGTCACCGCGCTAATATTCATCTGTTCCAGAATTCCGGTAGCAGCAGTCACTGGATTTTTCGATTAATTACATGCTTGACGCTGACAATAGTCATCACGCAATGCAATCATAACTGTATCTTCCCGAGTCGTCGGACTCTGGCGGAAGATTTCAGTCTTGAGAGGACCTTAAGTGAGTCCCTCTATAAACACGTTCACCATCCAGTCGTCTGGCATTGTTTCGCTAGCCATACTGGCACGAAGCTCATCGAGCTTCTGTACATAGTCGTACAACGCGCCACTGCCTCGGTGGCACGACAGAAACTTCGACCATTGTCGAAACGCCAATTTCGGCGGAACAAATATCGACTTAATGGCTTTTTCAAATCTTGTCATATGGCAGAATAGCTAGAGCGGTTGACTTCCCACGTCATCGCCCAACCCTTCGCACAGCCGTCCAAGTGCGATATGGCAAATGCCACTTGACTACGGTCATCACGAATTTGAGCCTTCGTGAAAGCGATGTCTATTTCTCGCTTCCAGAACACAAATTTTCATCTTCGTTCCCGTGGAATCTTCTTACCTCGATGCTTACAAGACGTTCCGTGGCACCGGCGTCGGTATTTATTCCAATAGATTCCAATAATCCTTGCTCATACGCCGGAAAAGCTGCTATGCGTTGAGTTATTGCTTCTTGATCCAATTAAAGCATATCGGAGTTCGCGTAATATCCTAATACAGCTCGTAGCCTCACCACACACTCCCACTGCGAGTGTGTTAGGAGTGAATACTTACCCTGTTGATCCGAGGACGACCACCGCCTGTGGTGTCCGCAAATTCCATCGATAAATCCATCAAAGTAGTCGGCGTTGGAAGGACTATTAGTGCTACCAAGTGTAAAGGGAATCACCCACACTTTTTTTAGAAAGGCTTGGGTCGACTGGCACGCCTCACCGCGTGTTGCTCGCTTTCTGCGGGCCGTCAACTTACGTAGAGAAAGGAAAGGTGAAGTGACATTTATTATTATAGTCAATAGGTTTTTAACCTCCTTAACCTGATATGTACTTCCAGTTCTGATACAACAAAACTCAAAGGGAATATACAGCTATTTGGTGTACAGTTAATGTAATAAACACACTTGACCACACAACATCTGTAATGGGACCTGGCCCATTACAACCGCTGGTTCATTTGATTTCGTCGGGACCATCAATATACATTTTCTTGTTAGACTTGTCGATTTTACCCAAGAATAGGTACTCAAACATTTCATATTTTATCCTCGCGGATTAAACAGTCCTTCACGACTCGACTCTTGGATTGACTACAGGTGCTATCAGGTGAGACGGGTTTGCCGTGCACTTTGCACGGCAGAAGTTTTGACCACAAAAATTTCGCGTTATCAAACGCCAACACACTGGGTTTTGTGACTCCCAATCTTCCGAAACTCGGCGTCTAGTTAGATCTGCTATACTTAGAAGACTTATATTTACATGAGTTTATTCAAACCAATACTATATACATCCGTTTTACTATCTCTTATAGATAGCTTTCTTTATTTTTGACGCGCGGCCAGCAGCCCGAAACCCCTCGCATTTGGATCTCCATCACTCTCAAAAATATCAGTCAAAGGCAATTATGAATATCCACTATCACACCGAAGTGCAATGGAAAAGCTCGATACAATTGTAGAATATTGTATTCAACGCAATTGTACAAGAGACTAAGCAATAAGCACACAAGATCATAGCACCCCATTACACCTGCGTGCACCGAAATTGTCGTGCACTTTGCACAGATGAATAAGTGACCACGTAAACAAACGCACAGAGGTTGGGCATGCGTGCATCTGCCAGGATTCTAGATATCTCTGACAGAGTACGTATATCTAGGGATCAGTCTACAATTTATACTTATTATATACATTTACTGTTTTTCATGATCTAATGAAGTTGAACTTTTATAGTTACCCACATAATCACAATTACAAAAGTGCAACGTGAACTTCGTACAATTGAAGTATCAATTAAAACAATCGTACGAAAAGTAATTACAGTACTGATCCCGTTATACAACAGTGGTGGATAATCTATTTGAACCCTGAACTTTTTAGCCCTCGATAACCGTCATCAATGCGGACCGTCAACGTATATGTGAAGAATGTCCAGGTCTACATTCTTGTCAGCGCTTACAATCTCTCTTAACCTACTTACTCCTATCTATGTCTTCGACCTGCTATGATTGCGGCACTCGACGTGTCGACGATAAGTCGCGTCACGCTCTCTGAGTCAAGTGAGTCGCGTGTGATGGAGCTGAGATCGGACGATGGTGAGTCGATGGCAAATAAAAATCGGGTCTCTATGTCCTTTATACCTTTTGCCACAAAACAATTAAATTCAGTCGCTACGTTCTGTACAAGCACGCGACACCCGTGATTGCCGCGGTTTACAAGTGACGCTTGTACTGTAGTTAGACAACGAATGAGAGTCTTTCGCCGTATTGCCACGACTTTGGGGAAATTGTTGCCAAATAAAAACTTCTGTGGAAAATACTGTTTGATTACTTTGATTAACCACTTGCATTCGGCACCACAAGAATGGCCTTGTTGTATACATTTAAGTAGACGCTTCCGAAAATGTCGATATTCATCAAAAGTGTGGCTTATGGTCCACATAGCACAAGATGCAAGCTTCAATTCGCTGGGTGCATACTTCATAGTCAGTTCATATTGTGTCTCACCGCCTGTACTAGCGGTATTAAGCTCCAACGTCAAATTATCTAGCCATGCAACAGCTTCGGGAACATTCACAGGTCCAACACGCATGAGACTGGCAGCCGATCGAGGCGCAGAGCCACCACAGCTTTTGCTCAAGTTCTTGATCGTGTTTTCCACCATTTCCTCAGCGCCTGCTATGCCTTCACGAAGCCCTTTTATCGTTGGTTTATCGTATTGCCTTATCCTGACTAAATTTGGAGTGATGGTTCGTTGTTGATTGACGGCAGCCTGTCTGTTGACGATACGAAACGGTGGTACATAATTGCGACTGGACAATATAGCGTAACGATCATGTCACTCACGCTTCAGATCCCTACTTTTGTTTTAATATTAAAATAATTACAAGAAAAAAAGGATAGAAGAAATTGAAACGACAAAATGATACGCGGACGTCAGTATTCGAAGCGTTGCGTTGTACCAAACGATCATCAGTACATGAGTTGCTCACAGAAGTGTACCAACGTGAGCGTTTCTGTTTGCAACACGAGCAGACGACGACGTGATAAAGCAAGAGACGGAGCTTGCGAGGTGAAGGGATAACAGTCGTAAAACTAAATGGTCAGGCCATTCGCACGGACGACGCCATTGCTCATTCCGCTGCTACTAATAGTGCAGTATCCTAAATCGTTGTTTTTAATCTTATTGTCTTGTCCATCGATACAACAACAACGATGTAATGATTCTTTGGAAAGATTGAGTAGTTTTGTAATTGTTGGTTGGACTATGAAACGTATGTGAGGGTGACGGCTTCCTCGCATAATATCCAGCCAAACATGTATCATTGTTAAGACCCACACTCTCACATTCTTGCTGTTGTATGATACATCGCATGTAGGAAACATGGCTCAATTTGAAAGTATGATGACAAAGTAAGAATAATGACATCAGATTACGCAATTCATAATTTTCAATTACTGGATAAATACTACTACACGCACAAAATGTTATTTACATCGGAGAGCTAATGGTTCGGTCAAGGCTGAGGTACTCCATTGGTAAGCTCCAGCCCGTAAACACATCATAAGAATTTGCTGTATCGTCTTTCTCACCCATGCCATCGTCTGATGAGACGGAGGATGTGAAAGACGGTCGTGAACTGGCAGGCGTTTCGAGTTCCGACGCAGTTGTTGGCGTCACAGGAGGCGAAATTCCATCGTTGCTTTTGTAATCGTCGCCTACGAGAAAGTACGCGAGCTCTTGACCTACTGACTTCATCATGACCTTGCAATTACGATTGCCATGATTCATCACAGATGCTTGGACGGTCGTAAGTAGTTGTAATAAAGCCTTACAGCGCTGGTCAACGATTGGTGGGAAACGTGAGCCCATTAGCGTCGGTTTAGGAAAATGCTTCTTGACTGTACTGTAGAGCCAACGGCATTCGGCTTTACAACTGTGTTTCGGCTGCAGTGCGCGTAGTAGACGCTTTTGAAATGTCTTATACTGGTCAAAAGTTTGTTTGACGTCCCAATGCGTAGGCGTGAAACCAGACGGATGATAGATCACGCGTAGATTGTACTGGACTGCCGCACGGATCGAGTTCGTCGTGGTCATTTCAAGCTTTATGTCCTTAAGCCAAGCTACGTCTTCAGGCAATGGCTTAACGGCTGGTGATGACCGAATGCGCGACGCAAACGAGTTTAACATTGGTGTTGGGGGTGTTGGAGCGAGCACTGTGGTTGGAGACGTCATTGGGGGACGAACGCTAATTCTGGAGTGGTGTATTTGTATCGAGGCGCGGTTTTGCCAGCCGATTCAACTGTTGGTGTAGTATACCAATTGGACAACAGCTCCTGGGATTACGACACACCGATTATTCTCTGAGGAAGGGGCGATGGCGTCTGGATATGCTGAGGCAAATCCACCAAGTGATTCTTCCTACTGCAGCGGTACAGTTCAAGTATAAATTCTGTGGTATTGGGATTTGCCAATTGCAGTGGAGTGTGCGAATTCTCGGAATTGATGGACCGTGCAGCGATTGTTAGAAAACACGCGATTTACACGGCTTCAAAATCTTACAGTATCCAGGCATCTTCTTACAATCTTGCCGTGTGGCAAATTTAGGATCAGTGCTCTTCATGAATCACGAATGCAAGCCACATTTCGCCGACCTTTACTGCAGCCAGATGCTGATTGAGTCTCGTCTACATGACACTATCTAGTTATCATAATGTCTTGTGTAATAAGGAAAATGACTGTGCATGTTTGTAGATATAGACGGTGTGCAACCCTCTGATTCTCGAACCGCCTGGAAATTTTAACTTGGGGGGCACCATTTTAAATTTTACAAAATATGTTGCATGCCATACGGAGCGCGATACGCTGCTGCCGTCACGTATGACTTAAATTTGAGTCGATCGCCCCTCCCAAGTGCCTTATTTTAGTATCTAGAATATAGTAGCTCTACGAAAAATTTAGCCTTAGCCCTAATACACGTCGGACCTACGGATTTGTACGACATTGGATAATTTTCGGACAGTCGTTTTGATCATTTGGCATATGGTGATATCAAAATGTAGTCCAGATTGCGTCGTTCTGAGAAACTGTATTGCGTTTCAGCCGTTTGGCTTTGTCATATGGTGGTATCTAAAGTCGAGATTTTCGCTAGCGTACTACACTCACCCCAGATGTGACAACATTTTACTGAAGTATACCTTTCATATCTCTTTATCTCTGTTCAGATTTGATAAACCCATAGATGAATTGACAAATCAACACCATTCCTTACTACATTAGGCTTGTTTGTGTGCAATGAATCTTTGCCATGTCGTACGGCGATCGTTAATATGACGAATATGTACAGTTGAGGGAAAGGAGATAAGATGGATCAACTTGTGTGTAGGGTGGCTAAGCAACCTGGTTTCAATGCAGGTTCTGGTCGTCCTTCAACGCATCCGAATTCGGTTGTAGGCATCGATTCGAAGGCAAGAATTCATTGCGTATCTCTAATCACTTACAGCGACTTGCCTACTTCATATACGATGACACTGGGTACAGCGCCATATCAAGATTTGTACAACCCCTCAAGCTTCTGTGTAAGCGATTTTTAATCTTGTAGCGATAATGTTCTGGATCAATTAATACATTTGCACAAGTATCCATATACCATTAATTGAGCTGCTCGGCTTGCTTCACTTGCTAGCCTTGGCGTGATGCGGCACTACGAACCTCACCTTATATTTTCATCTGCGGACACGCGAGAGTGTCCGAAGGCTGGCAAGCCTTTTACCCAGACTATTTGGCAGATTAATAAGACCTTGACGATAGGGTACTGGTAGCGCGAGTGCTGTTCGCGAAAGGGATGTGCGGTCGCCGACAAGAAAAGTTGAAAATGTCTTAAGCACGTCTCCCATTAAAACCCTACAACCGCGGTTGCCGTGTGTCACCAACGTTGACTGAATTGTAGTCAAAACTCGAAGAAGCGCAACTCGCCGCCGCTCCGTTTTCAAAGCACATGGTGAAAGCATCGTTTGTGGCTTCGGAAAGTGTTGCTTCACAACAGTATAGAGCCACTTACACTCAGCGGAGCAGCTATGCCCTGGCTCAAGATCGCGGAGAAGATTATCACGGAGTGTAATGAAGTCACTTAGCGGTCTACTTTGAACCCAGGCTGTGGCTTCGATCGAAAGGTGCGAGTTTGGGTGCTTCCGACGCACCAAAAGCTCAAAGCGGACAATTTCATTCGGCTTTTGAGTCGTGCTCATAGTAAGCGTCAGATCCCGTAACCACAGTACAATCTCAGGCTCGGCTAGGGGCGTGTGCAGCCGGGTCTTCAAGCTCATATAAACGGGGGAGGCCTGCGACTCTGGCGAGGACGGCGGCTTGGTCTGGGCCATACTGCGTGGAAGACGAGGGAACGAACAGATTTGGAGGGCTCCAAAGGTCATAGAGGCGGGGGGATCATAGAAATTTTCCATAAAATGCGAAGAACAAGGAAATTCCAAGATGATTTGCCGTCTCTGACTATATTGGGGCCAGTAGTCTCTGACCACCAGATGCCATTGCGGCTTTTAAGTAATACAGTATGAACATGAGGCAGGAAGCAGCCTGTACTCGTTTATGTCCTGCGGAGGTAAAAAGGGCTATACAGATTCTTATTTATTAGTATTCGGTTCGATACTATAAATCATTTAAACAATGTTCTCGATTTCAGACATGGAGTGAAGTCCTTGCAGTGCTTCCAAGTTAGAAAATTTGAAAACGTTTATATTACAGACAGTATTAGTAACACGCAACAGGATATCTACCGAAAAACAAAGGTTATCAGATATACACAGTAAAGGAGGAAAATTTCGCAATTGCATTACATTTAAGAATTTAAAATTCGTCCAAAATTTTAAACAAGAGTGGTTTCCTGACAGAGTTTAAGCCACTCAACTGTCAATGTCAATTTTTTCATTCGATATAAAAATGATGCGTAGAGTACTTTACGAGCAAATGGGCTTGAAAAACTCATTGGCCATCACCAGCTCAGTGAGGTTTGCAGAGTGTAACGACCCTTTTATGAAAAGGTGGGTCACACAAGATGTGTGGATATCACAAGTCGGTGTAATCACACAATGGTGTGGCTACACAGTTACAAGAATTCACAACGTGCAGGACTGCCACTAGTTATGTAACGGGGTTACACGAACCCTAATAACAGGGTGTATGTGTCACACGAGATGTGTATTATGTGACCACCCACCCAAACAAGATCCTGTATCGGACTAGGTAGCCAGTAGTTATGCATGTATTTGGATTTTACTATATATATAGTATATTTAGATTTTAAAATTGGAATAAAAAATGGGAGAATAAAAAAAATGCCCCAACTTTTGCCATATATAAAAAAAATATCCCAAC